CCTCTGAAGGGCTTTCAGAGGGCTCCCGCAGGGCCCCAAGAGGGCCCCAAGATGGCTCCAAGAGGGCCCGACATCTCACACAACACCAGCACCACGGCAGCATATGCGGCACCAGGAGCATCAACGCCAGCAGCAACAGCAACATCTGTAACAACAACAACGAGAGAGGCAGCAACGGAAAGATGATTCCAAGATGGACCCAAAAGGGTTTTGAACGGATCACAAGATTACCCCTGTCGCCCCACGATGCCCACCCCCGCTAATCATTGGCCCCAATATGACCCCAGAGCGACCCTGCGGCCCCAAGAGAACACCGAGACGAACCCATTGTCGTCTGCCTGAACTACGGCTACCGCGCGACCCCCCATTTTACTCCGAGATGCCCCTGGGACGGCTCCATGAGCCCGAGACGACCTCGAGAGCGCCTCAAGATGACCCTTTAAAACCCTAGTTGACCCCAACATTGTGTCAATCTGGCTCCAAGATGACTCCCAGGCGTTTCTTCTGTCTGCCCTCGCTCTTGGCTTGGGCCGATCGGACGGATGGGGGTGCTGGCCCTCCACCCCCTCGTCGTTGTTTTCTTCCTCCCCCTTCGTCCTCGTCGCCCTCCTCGTCGTCGTCGTCGTCGCTGTCTGCTTGGCCCCACTTGGCCGTTCCATAGCAGAAGAACTAATCCCCAACACACTCCGAATCCATAGATCCTGACTCCGTCCCCCTCCCTGCCCCGTTTCTGTTCCGTTCCTCCGTCCGCTCTTCCCTTGCCATAGGGGCTGCACGGGATACACACTGCAGGTGAGGAAGATATACCCTCATGGGGGTACGATCGAAGACGTACAGGGCGGGTATCAAGGGTTTGGGATACACGTGTCGACTGGCACGCGGGCAGTTAGGAGCGAACAGTCTTAAAATGATTGTTGTTTTTGATGTCGTCGTCGTCGTCGTCGTCGTCGTCGTCGTCGTCGTCGTCGTCGTCGTCGTCGTCCCGGTGGGTGGGTCGCGGGGGGGTCGTGGGTGGGTCGCGGCGCGGGTGGGTCGCGGCGCGGGTGGGTCGCATGTGGGTCGCGGCGCAGGGGCCTTCTTGGAGCCCTCCTGTGGGGCCCTCTTGGGGCTCACCGGGGGCTTTCGGGCCCTTGCGAGAAGGTTTGGGAGGGCCCAAGAACGGAGAGGCCCAAATCGTCAACTTCCGATTGGTTTATGTATGATGTTAGCATCGCCGCCCTCTCGGTCTTGAGAGCGTCGACCACGGCTCAAGAAGGCCACATTGTCTCCCCGAGACGTCCCAAGAAGGCCCAAGAGGGGCCCAAGAGGCCTCCAAGACGGCCCGCGAGAAACAAACAAAAGGAGGAAGATAAGTGGACAACAGGTCCTGATGCCAGTCCGTCTCTAGCAAGGTCTCAGGCGGGTAGGCGATGCTTCCAACGTAGCCTGGGCTCGATAAGCCCAAATCGTCAACATCGCATTGGAAATATCATTGGATTTCACATGATGTAAGCACTGCCGCCTTATCAGTTTCAAGAACGTCGACCACGGCCCAAGATGGTCTAATTGTCGCCCCAAGACGGCACGATAACGTCCGAAAGGGGCCCGTGAGGCCTCCCAGACGGCCCAAGAGAGGTCCAGAAAAGGGGAAACATGAGTGGACGACGGAGTCCTGCCTGTTCTCCCGGTTTCCTCATGCCTCTGGCCTCCTTGAATCACAGGGTTTCTTCGGGAACTTGCGCTTGCACAGTTTGGCCCTGAAAGAGCCGATCGAGCCAGGCCACTATTCTTTGCTCCAGAGGTCGACGTTCGGAATGGTCAGTGTATTCAACCATCTCCCGCAGCAGCTCACTAGCTGCCGCTCTGTCGGAGAGCGTTGCATTTCCGGGCCAAAGATGCTGCAAAATCTCACGCCCCAGTGCGGCAGCTCCTGTACGCCGCGCCTTACCGCGTTTCGTATGATGTTAGCATCGCCGCCTTATCGGTCTCAAGGACGTCGACCGCGGCCCAGGAGGGCCTCACTGTCGCCCCAATACGGCACAAGAAGGCCCAAAAGGGGCCCAAGAGGCGTCAAGACGGCCCAAGAGAATTCCAGAAGAGGGGAAACGTAAGCGGACAACGAGTTTTGGGGTAGCGGGGTGATGGGTTATGGGCGGGTCGCGATGCGAGTGGGTCGCAGATGGGTCGCAGGCGCCGCATTGGCCCACCCGCCACATCACTCTTATCCGCTACTGCGGGGTGTATTTGGTTTATGTAATGTATATTTATATATACAGATTCATACGCACCGCATCCTTCTGATTATCTGGTGACCTTCGGCCAATACCGCCACCATGTCAGGGCTGTGGGACAGAGGTGTCTTGGATGCCTGTAGGAGTTTCTCGAGATGTCTTTCGGAAGCTTCCTGGGAGGATCCCCGAGCTGTAAGATTCAAGTGGTACCCACGTGGTACCACGTGGGCCATGCCGGCGTCCCGCGTGTCTGGGTTGTGGGTCAGAGGCCATATCGGGGGCTTTGTGATGTGTCTTCCTCTGGGGCTACTTTCTCGGGAGCCTCTTTGGGCATATTTGGGGCCTCCTGGGGGCCTCTTGGAAGCCTCTTGGGGACCTGGGTCTCTTAGTATTTGTTAGGGGTCGCTTGGGACCTCTTGGGAGGCCCTCGGGGCGTCTTGGGGGGCGGTCTCTGGGGCCGCTCTGGCCCCAGAGCACCTTCGCGTTCCCTCGCCTCTTTGGGCCGTCTCAGGAGGGTTCTTGGGCCGTCCTGGGGCCTTCGTGGGGCCGTCTTGAAGCCCCTGGGCCGTCTGGGGGCAGTTGTGTGGGCCTTGGGCCGTCTTGGGGGCCTCCTGGGGTTCTCGTTGGCCGCCCCTTGGGGCCTTCTTGGAGGGCGTCTTGGGGCCGTCTTGGGGGCGACCTGGGGCCTCTTGGGCAGTCTTGGAGTTTCGGAAGCGAGCACACGTGAGAGCGCTGAAATCTGCTTTGAAAACTACAGTAAACTGGGAACAGTGATTCTGGCCTCTTGGAGCCCTCCTTGGGGCGTCGTGGGGCCTGTTGGGCCTTCTGGAGGCGGAGCGCTCTCGGGCGACTCGGGGCGCTCTCGGACCGTGTCGGGGGACTGTGGGGCCCTCTGGGCCAGTCTTGAGTCCCTCTTGGCGCCAGAAAAGTCATGCGACAGTGCCAAGGGACCCTCGAAAGTGCCGAGGTGCGCCCGGAACTCCAGGCTGCGGCCCCTGGAAGAATCTTTCGGATAGGATTCGAAGGAGCTGAGGTCATTTCAACTGGTGCCTCAGGGCACGGTGGCCGGCCTTGTCCCAGCTTCATGCCACATGTATTGCTCTGCACCGTCGTTGCCACTCTGGAGCAGGGGTGATGCTGCCATCGATCTCGTCTCGCCCAACGTCGAAGTGAGGGGTTGCCGCTGACACCGATCCATGTGAAGTTGCGCGCGTGTTGTCACATCTGGGAGCCAACCTGTGTGCGCTCATCAGAGTGGGGGTGCCGACCGATCTTTCACTGTCCCTGGTTGCGTGGTTGAAGTGCGGTTCCGCGTTGTGGACCCGAGAGGCTTCCTCCATTCCGCCGACCCCCAAAACATCACATGTACGGCTGCCGCATTCGTATTGCGTTGTTCGCCGCTGCCCGTCGTGCTGCCTGCGTGTGGTGGTCGCCGATTCGTCCTCCTCTTCCTCCGCGTCTGTTGCGGGCTTCTTGGGGGCGTCTTGGAGGCTTCGGGGGAGTCTTGGAGCCTTGTCAGGGCTCCTGGGCGATGCCCTCTGGGGGCTTCTTGGGGCCTCCTTGGGGCCTCGTGGAAGCATGCGGGGAAGTCTTTGAGGTCGCCGTGGGAGATGTCTACTGGGGCCCTCTTAAGGGTCCTTTTGTGTCTTGGACCCTGTTGGGCCGTCTCCAGGCCCTCTGAGATGCCGTTTGGGCAGTCTTGGACCAGTCTTGGGGGCCTCTCGGGCCGTCTTGACGCTTCAGGAGTCAGGAAGGTCGAGAACGCAAGAATCACTCGAACACGCGAGGAATTAGTGATTTGGGAGGCCCTCTCGGGGCGTCATGAGGTCCTCTGGAGCCGTTTTCAGCCATGTTGCGTTTCCTCGAAGCAAAATGCGCGTCGAAATGGTTCTTAGGCCGTTTCGCGGCGCAACTGCATCATCTTGGATGTTTGCCCCCGTCCTCACCCTGCTCCTTGCCCTCGCCGCTTCCTCGTGCATGAGCCAGGACACGCGTGCCACGTGTTTCTTTCAGTTCTTTTTGTATACTTGACCCCTCGACCCCCCCCCAACAGGGTGGTGCTGAGCGTGGCAGTCTCGCCACTTTCCTGCCCGGCTGCAGGGTGTTCCAGAGGATTGCGTTATGCGTGTTCAGACAAGGTTTTGTCCCACCTTGTGTTGCCCAGCGCACACGTGACGACATTTTCGGGTATCTCTGGGCTCTGGGGGGTGCAGCGGAGAGCTTGATTTGGCGGGCACCAGCGGGATGAAGCCCTCATGTGTGCCGAATGCTGCAAATCAGCAGAGTAACGCGCTGCGCAGATCCAGGGGAGATTTCCCCCTACCATCAGTCGTGCCGAGAGTGTAGGTGTTGCTTTTTTCCCGATGTCAGAGACGGCTTTTGGGGCGGGCGTAAATAAGTTGGGCTTGGGCCGTCTTGGGGCCATCTTGGGTTGGTCTTCGAACGCATTCGAGTCGTCTCGGTGGCGGCCTGGGGGCAAGGTCTGTTACGAGTCTGGCCCATGGCACAGATGGTGCAGTTTCCATGTTCCACTACAGGTACAGGCTCGTAGTAATCATTTGAGAGGAAAGTGAGTACCTCATGGATTGCATGATGTTTAGGGGTTGGCTCTTTCGAAATTGCTTCCCGCTGCGCAGTGATCCGACTCATGTTCACTGTTGCAGAGCAAGGTATCGGAGCCTCGATATCGCATCATTGCCCTTTCGGTGGATCATCAACTGCGAAGGTGACATGGTGGTCTTGCCGATTTGTACGCATGATTCCGCATGTCTCTGTATTGCCACACCGCAGTTAGCGCACCACTTCAACCTCACCGACAGGCACGCTAGGCTGCGCGGCTGCCATGCGACTGTGCTGGGGAAGCCGAGCAGTTGCGCGTTCAGGGTCTCGTGGGTGCACTGCGTACTCACAAGATTTCAAATCGGAAGCTGGAGTCTCGGGTTTTAGTGCTTGCCAGCGTGAACCCCAAACAGTAATTGGGTGATTACATACTCGATGTGCAATGTGTTGTGCTGCAGCCCGTGTATGGTGCAACCTATGTGTTGCAAGATATGCTTATGTTCACGATGCAATCTTCGTGGTGCAACTTGTGCGGTGCAGGCTGTGTGGTAACATGTGTTGGGGTGCCGCCTGTTTGGTGCAACATGAGTTGTCCTGTTGACGTCGTCGAGCACCTGTGATGCAGTCCATGTCGTGCAATGTGCTGATTGCGAGCTACGTGGTGCAATACAAGTGGTGCAGGCCCTAGTGGGCCCTGGAAACGGCAGGGCCGTTTCTTCACCGTTTCCGAAAAAGTGTCCCTTGAAAATGGAAATGGCAAAAGAAAACGGCGACCAGAAACGGCAAGAAAACCGGCTCCAGGATTGGAACCGGAGCGGGAACCCGTAACAGAACGGCGACGGAACCGGTGACAAAAACGGCGTCGGAACCGGTAACAAAAACGGCGTCGGAACCGGCAACAAAAACGGCAAAACGGAACCGGTAAAAAAACGGCCTTGTTTTTTCTTCGATTAGACGTAAGAGTGACTTTTCGCCAGAGTGACCTTTGGTGCGGGCACAGATGGGCCCTCAGATGGCCCGAAAACGAAGCGGTAGCAGCGGCTTGCGCGCCCAGGTTTGGTCTCCCCGCGGCCACCAGAAAGCCGCGCACCAAAGGTCATTCTGACCCAGGGTCACTCTTGCGTGTAGCCGACTTCCAGGGCCCACGAAGGTGCAGGCTGTGTGGTGAAACAGGGCTATGATCGGGATAGATCGCTCCAGAGCGTTCCGGAGCGCTCTCAGAGCGTTCCGGAACGCTCTGGAGCGGCCGCGGCGCCCAATACATCCTGCAAACCCGCCGATTCTCAGAGATTTCGAGTTATCCCGATCCGATTTTGTCCTGATCTTCGCCCAGAAATCAGGGAGGAGGAGGAGGAGGAGGAGGAGGAGGAGGAGGAGGAGGAGGAGGAGGAGGAGGAGGAGGAGGAGGGGAGGCGGAGGCGGAGGAGGAGGAGGAGGAGGAGGAGGAGGAGGAGGAGGAGGAGGAGGAGGGGGAGGAGGAGGAGGAGGAGGAGGAGGAGGAGAGAGGAGGAGGGCGGGTCGCCTAAGCCCTTCGGAGAAACCCTCCACTGCCCCCATGTCACTTCGAGTTTCATGCATCGGGTACTACGCGTTCACCTAGCAGCGCTGGCCGCAGCTTGCTGGGTCTTCCAAGTTCTCGGCTGGTGGCCGCCCGTGGCCGCCTCGTGATCGCCGCCCGGGAAAGAATCACAGAGGGACAAGTAATCGTCGGCTCCCTGGAAGATATGGCAAAATATGGGGAGTGTGTGGGGGGAGGCAGAGACCCAGAAGATATTGGAGAATAGGGGGTTTCCTTTTATGTGTGTGTATTTGTTTGTGTGCCTGTGGGCCCCCTCAAGAAATCGCAGGCAGCGCACGGGGCGCCCACAAGCCGGGCACTGGGCGAAAGCTCGAAAGGCCCAGCCGATGTCTGATGTTTCGCGTGTTCCCATCAGCTTGCCCAGAAACAGGGAAGTGGATGAGAGGAAGCATGGGAACAACGATGGGGGCAGCCGTCAAGCTGAAACTCGGGATCAGCCTGAGCAGACCCAGGAGTAAATGCCTTCGCGGACCTTTTGATATGGGGGCCTTTTGGCAGTTCATATTGGCCATGCTTGCGCCCTCTTGGGGCCGTTTGGGAGGCCTCTGGGGCTCTCTGGGGACGCTTTCGGGGCCTTCTTGGATGCCGCCTGGACACTTCAGAGGTAGATCGGACGCGAAAACACGAGAAGTCACCATCCACCAAACCACCCCAACCCAACCCGAAGGCTTCAATTTGCCCTCCATTTCCAGTGGGGGGGGGGGTCGGGGAGCATCGAAAAAACACGTATGGAGCCCATTACCCCCCCCCAACCCGAAATTCGGGTCTTCGGGTTGGGTTTGGGTGGTCTGGTAGGTAGTCAGGCACGAACAAATGCTTCCCCTTTGACTTTGGAAGGAACTTGGCTTCTCGAGGGCGTCCTTGGGAGGCTCCTTGGCTTCTTGGACTCGTCTTGGGGCTTCTTGGAGGCACGTCGGATGATGTCTTGAGCCATCTTGTGCGGTGTTGGAGGTCACATTCGGGGAACAAAAAGTGGCATCAACATAACAACTCGGAGGTCCGCGCGGATTTCTCGGATCGGCGCTGGGGCCCCCCGGCGGCGCCTCCGGCGCCGCCCCTGGCGCGCTCCGCGCGCCAGGGAGGGGGGTTCAGCGCCGATCCGAGATATCCGCGCGGACCTCCGAGTTTTTATGTTTATGCCACTTTTTGTTCTCCTAGTTTCGGAGGTCACATGGGAGTGCGGGGGGGGGAGTCAACGGGGAGCCATCTTAGGCACTCTTGGACGGTCCAGCTCGGCACGCCCCTCCCCGCCCTCCAGACTTCGGGGAAGGGGGCTGGCGGGGGGCGGTCAAGCTACCCACAAGCCGCAAGCCGTCCCGCTCACTCCCACCCGCCCTCCCAGCACAGAAGTAGCATCCGCGTCACAGCATGGACAGGGGCCTGCATCGACAACCATCGGGAACAACTGCAGACGCCAGCCAGGTGGGCAAAGAATGCGAGGTGCGCCGCACATGCCAGGTGCGCCGCGCGCACCAGGTGCCCATCATCTCTGCCCAACTTCAATACAAAGTGACGGCGGGTTTGCGAGCATTGCGTCTTTTGTGCGGGCGTGCACCCACAATCCCTTTGCTTCTGTTTCTGACAGGGCTGGTGGGCCGGCGCGTTGCAAGTGTTATGCCGCCCCCCTCGCCGTCCCTGGAAATCTGAGTTCTGCACTGTCTGTTGAGAGGGACGGTGGGCCTGCACGCAGCAGGCAATCCTGCGGGCACCCCCGCCACTCCCGTCAAACACCGACGCAGTGTGAGCGCAGCGCGTCCGCGCATGATCCCGGTTCTGGTGGAAGGCGCACGCTGTGTTTGTTTTGCAAGGGATGGTGGGTTGCCTTTCCCGCCGTCTGTATCAGAAACAAATGCAGCATGATCGTGGGGCGTCCGCGCATGATCCAGCGTCTGATGCAGCGTGCACTTTGTACTATTTTTGCGAGGGATGCTCGGGGAGCGTTGGCACTGCACACAGCAGGTAATATGACGGCACCCCGCCGTCCCGGTCAAAACCAAAGCGAAGTAATCGCGGGGCGTCCGCGCATGTTCCTGATGTTGATTCAACGTACGTTTCGCATTGTTTGTCGCAAGGGATGTTTGGGGTGGTGCCTGCATTGGCCCTAGTTTGTCGCTAGTCGGGTGGGAATGGGATGCATATCAATATGGAAGAGAGATCAAGCTACCCCCCCAAAGGATGACAGCCGTCTCGCTTACTCCCACCCGCCCACCCGACAAATGAGTACCACCCGAGTCTCGGCACGGACAGGGGCCGCCATCGACAACCATCGGGAACCAATACAGATGCCAGCCAGGTGCGCGACGCCTGCAAGGTGCGCCTCGCGTGCCAGGACGCCCCCATCGCCCCTGTCAAATAACCAAATGCAAAGTGATATGGGGGCGCCCGCGCATGCTCGAATGTTTTGCCTCCACGTGCGTTTCTCACTGTTTTGGGGGATGGGGGATGATAGGCTTGCACGCGCCAGGCAACATAATGGCACCCGCGCCGTCCGTGTCAACACAACAGTGTAAGGTCACTTTGGACCGCCCGAACATGATCCACATGGTCCCACCTATTTTTTTACTTGTTTGTTTTGTTTGACAAGGATGCCGGGCGGTTGTTCACATCTGCTTTGGTGGGGGGCCGGTCGAGTGAGAAAAGGTTGTGTGTATAAGAATGGGCAGCGGAAGCCCCCATCTCCGAAGATAAGTTTTTGGTTGGAATAGTTGACGTGCTGAGCCACTCACGCCCTGAAGGGCTTGTGTGGTTTCTTGTAAGAGAGGTGCGAGCCCCATGTGCAAGTTTGTTGGGGCGACTTGTCATGACCTTCTGACGTCCGGAACCTTTGGCGGGTACGTTCCGATGGGGGATCTCATTCGGTGTTGCCTTCTCGAGTGCAGAGCGAATACGTCCTGGATGCTGTCCAGGTTCGCTGCTTGCTTGCACGCGATTCTCTGGGGGCCACGGTGCGCGCCGGAGGGGAGGCGGGCTGAGCGAGAGGACGTGCGAGCAAGGTGAGAAGGGGCCGGGGAGGCAACGGCGGCAGGAGAGGTCAGAGCAGGGGAGGATGAGAGGCATTGAGGCACTCTCGGGCGAGGAGGTGATTCGTTGGAGGGGCGCATCCTCTTGTGCTCCACGGTTGGCTGTGGCTGGTTAGTGCGAGTGGCGTGCCATGGGGCAGCGGCAGTGGGGTCGGAGGAGAATCAGGAGGGGGGATCGGTCGGACGTGAGAGGGTGAGACGAGGAGGAGCAGGAGGAAGAGGCGAAGGTGGGAGCAGCGATCGATTCATTCAGGCGCCGTATGGCAAAAGGCAGGGCAGTACACGGTTGGATATATGCAGAAATCTATTCCAATTTGCAAGGTGCTATTATGCAGTTTTCCTCGTACTTCTCGTTATTGTCTTCCTCGTCCTCATCCCCCTCCTTCTCCCCGTCCTTGTCCTCCCCTCGTCATCATCTTCCTGCAGTCTAGAGTCTAGCACGCGCCGGCCAGGATGCTCAACGAGCAGTTGAAGAAGCGAAATAACACTTATGAGGATCGCCTCAGCAGTTGTTCCTTTCCGCGCTATTTTTTGTGTGTTTCACGGCGCGTGATCTAGACTTGTCCCAGCCGGCAGGCAGTGAATTGTGCGTTACACATGTTGGAGGCGCGATGTTCGGCAGGTGCTGGTTATGTTTGGTCTCGTTGCCACTCTGTTCGTCGAGCGCGCAGAATCTTCAAGCCCAGCGAAGCGCGCATGATTCATTCACGAGGGGGAGGAGGACACGGATCGCCCTTTTGATAATTCATTCGTATGATGTTGGAAGAGAGGATATATATATATATATATATATATATATATTGAAGGCGGATTCGAAACCTCACGAACGCACTTGTGACTCACGCATCCACAGCTTGTCGCCAGTGCTTTGGAGCAAACATTGGAACTTACTGCGCGGCATTTGCGTCGTAGTCAGCCAGGGGACGGATTGGCATGAGGCTTCCTCGGAGCAAGGAGCGATTTTGATACAGAGCTCTGATCCACTCTGCTGGCTGGCGCTCCAGAGGGTCGGCGTCACACAAAGTTCAGATCAGCCATTTTGGCTCAAGCTATTTGGCTAGGCCAGTCTGGCTCAAACCTCGCAGTGCGCGGAGTCAGGTGCAGTGACGGGAGGAATATACCACCACCCCAAAGAGTTCCGCAATTCTAAGGTCTGTGAGCTGCACAAGGCTCGAAAGGCGCCGCAGTCCGCGGTGCGGTGCAGTATGCAACCGCCTGAGCAGCTCGGACATCCGGTGGCTTCTCCAGAGCAGTAGGTACGTGCGTGCGGCACGCGGAGATGACTGCGCACAGCGAAGCGCTGGGCACGACGGCCGCGAAGCGGCCTGAAAAATCCGAGAGGCCAGGGTTCGAGTTGGACAGGCCTGGGCACGTCCAGAAACGCGTGCAAGAGGACGCAGTCTGCTCGCGGGCCATTCCGAGGCGCTCGCCCACAGTCGCCCACGCAACTCAAAAAAGGGCTCGTTGTCCACGCCCAGGCGTCGCCCTGGCACGCCGGCCGCCACCAGCGCGTTACAGTCGGGGCCCTGAAGAAGGAACCCTTTCGGTTGGGGAGGGGCTCCGCGTTCCCTAAGTGTTTCACAGCTTGCCTCGGATGTTTCTTATGTTTTCGATGGGAACATCGAACTTTAACTTATGGGAAAAATGAGCCTCCTTCCTTATTTAGGTCAACGCCCCGACTGAACGAGGCGTGCTCTGCAGGTGGCGACGGTGGCGCAGTCCTGTAGCGCGCCGGGGGCCGCGGCGGTGTGCAGAGGCCAGGCGCACGCACGCCGCACGACGTCCCCGTCGCCACGGGGGCGCGCCGAAGAGGAGTGGCCGCGGAGGTCTGGCGACCTCGTGGGAGCAGGAGCTGGAGAGTGGAGCTTCTGTCAGCGAGCGAAGAGCGGTATAACATAAACTTGTTCGCTGTCGGGGGCGCCTGTCCCTGGGCGGCTGGAAAGTTTATACCCTTACGGTGGCACCGTAGGGGTATAAACTTTCCAGCCGCCCAGGGACAGGCGCCCCCGACAGCGAAACAAGAATTTGTTATACCCATCTTCGCCCGTTAATCCTGGTCGGCGGCCACATGGGGCACGAGCCGCTCTGCGGCCACAGCGGGGGCGCGCAGGAGCTCGTTGCGCGCCTGTGCAGGGGGAAGAGGTGGAGAGCGGTCGCGGGGAAAGGCGGCGGGGGCGGCGGGGGGGGGGGGCGAATTGGAACGCGTGTTGACAGAGGCGGGCGGGCGAGCGCGGCTTGCCCGTTGTGGGTGTCGGGGTCGGCCCCGTGGGACCATCCTGGGCCTTCCCCTCTCCGTTCCTGCCTGCCTTCCTCCCTCCTCGCGAGGACCGAGGAGAGGAGTCCGCCGCGCGCGCAGCATCTGTGCTCGCGCAGCGGGCGGGTAGCGGGGGGCCTCGCGCGCGTCGTGCCGTGTCGCCTGTCTCCCTTTCTTGCTGCTGCGCCCGCGGCTGCGACGGGTAATGGCCAGGACCGCTGGCTTAAAAAGGGAACCTGGCCGCCTTCAGATGCGAGCGGAGGCATTTTACAAACAAGGCATTGCTGCTCCGCTTTGCTGCTGCGCCTGCGACTGCGACGGGTAATGGCCAGGACCGCTGACTTAAAAAGGGAACCTGGCCGCCTTCAGATGCGAGCAGAGGCCTTTAACAAACAAGGTTTTGAGTCTGGCCAAAGGCGATTCCAATCCTACCCTGAGGTCGTCAGCCGAAGCAGCGCGGCGCACTGCAACTAAGATATGGCCAATGCGGGCGAACTTGAAGGAAGCCCCGAAACCATCATCACCGCTACGTCTTTCGACGTGGAGCAAACAAATCAAACTGGTACACATCAGCAAATGGGGCACGCACAAGTCTTTACGGTATACCGTTCCATTAATAAGGGTCAACAGAACCCACCGCCAACTATTTTAAGAGCTCATGCTTTGGGGCACCCCAGCCCCGAACCAGCAGGGCAGTCCGCCGCTGGCACGGCAAGGCTTCCGCACGGGATACAACGAATGAAATGCACCCTTTATCTTTTATCCTGTGCCGCAACACGGGACAGAGGCTCCAGCTGCCAAAGCGACAGAGCCAAGGACCCCCGACCTTTTCGACCAGGCGCGACAAGCGAGGCTGCCAGGGTGGATATAACAAAAAAAAAAAACGCCGTTGAAATCTCAATGTTGTTCCCAAGTGCTGGAGCACTCCCGACATTGAACCGCCAATAGCCACAGCACAAGAGCAGGCTTTATACGAGCAGCGCAGAATTGTCGAGCAACAACAAGAGGTCAACTCTGACAGGCTGCTGGCGTCCTTCGCGGAGGTTGCAAGTTTCCGTCAGTCGCAACAAACGCAAAGTGTGGGCCCACTGCCCGCAAAGTCTCCGGAAACATTTTTGCGGCGAGCGCGCGTGCCCCTTAATCCCACCAGCGAGTCACAAAAGCGGGGCGCCTCAATGCAATTGAATGCATACTTACTTCAACGACAACTGCAAATCGCGACGGAGCAACCCGACGCAAACGTGGCTCAACAGCCCTTGTCGACGCTCGAAAGACGCGCCCCGGAGCTGGAACGTGATAACAACGCCCTGACCCAACAGATCTCTGCCCATGCTCAAGACCTTCGAAGCGATGCACGGCGCGCAGCGACAAACTATCGACGAACGCCTTAATTCAAGCGAGAATGGATAATTAGCACAGGCGGCCTTCGCCAGTCATTGGGCGCGCGAGCCCGCCCGGGCGAACAGCGGTGGACCGCGACGGCCCGTCGCCGCCAAGCGAGAAAATGGGCGGATCGGAGAGTTGTCGGAGGCGCCCGCCCGCCAACAGTCGAGGCCGTTCCAGCGCCCGATAATCGCGCGCAGAAGAATCCCGATGCTCCGCCGCCTGCGGCGGGGCAACCTTGCGCCGAGGTCAGCGAGAAACCTTTCGACGGCGCCTCGACATCTACGCCTCCGCCGCCACCGCGGCCACATCCTGAGTGGACGCCTAGTTTTCAGCAGCGCGAAACACCAGCCACTCCGAGGCGCCCGGCGCCGGGGAACAATCGCCCGCCCTGCGCGGGCCTCGGGAACAGCTCCCCAAGCCTGGACCCAACAAAACCAACCATCAGGTCCTCCACCGCGCGAAATCGACCGACCAGAGGCGGGCGGAGATTCATTTCGAGACCGCCAATTTGCAGGCGTGCGCGGGGGGGGGGGGGGGGGGCGTGAATGGTGCGATGGATAAGAAATGTAAGGGGGCAGAGCGGTTCACGTTCCGACCTCCGCCCGCAGCCCCCTTCTCCCGAGGGCAGAAGCAGGGCGCGCGTGAGAGCGTCAGCTCGTTGCCTGGCAGACCAGAACTGGCATCCCAATGGCTCCGCGAGGTTGATGCATGCATATAGCGCCGCGCGCGAGCAGCTCTCTGACCGCGGAGACTTCGACGCGCCCGATGCATAACAACACCGTCAGCGCTGAGAGATACCTCGAACAGCGATGACCTCGAAGGACTGGAGAATCACCCGTGAGGAAGAAGCCGTAGCACGCGGATGCTCCGCACAAGGGCTACATATCCTTTTTCGCGACCATGGGCTGGCCCCAACTCGTTGAATCCGATGGCTGCGTCTGTGACTTCGCTCGCAGGATCAGCGCAGAGATGGCGCGCGATCTTCCAAGTCAGTTTCTTGACGCATGGGGCTTCGCAGTCTTAGGCGTAGCCTCCGCTCCCGCTGCGAGCGCCCGCGAAGCCTTCTTTCGCCCGCAAAGCGAGCGCGATCGAGACGTGGGGCCCAGCGCGGGCGCGGACGACCGAGCGGCGCGGGGCGGCCCATGCAAAATTGACCAACGGTTTCACGACAGATGCCAGAGGCTCTTCGAGCGCCGAAGTCCGTCAACGTGTAGGAGATAGATGGTTGACAGAAACATGGGCACCATGGCCGTTGGCAGGGGCACGCGCAGCAATTGGATTCACCGCGGGAGCTGCTCTGCCCATGGCGACATGCCATCGCGACGATCCGCGGACGCATGAAGGGCGGCAAGAACGCGCTTGCGGCGGGCCAACCCGACGCTGACAGTGGACCCGGGGAGTTTTGCATGGCCCGCGCTAGCGACGGTAAATTCGATGGCTCTGGCTGCGAAGACTTGGATAAGAAAGCATGCTCCATCTACCAGAGTGTGGGCAGAAGGTTCGGCAGCAAGTGACATTCGCCCACCTGGACAGATCGGGCGCGCCAGCGTTCAAGTCCAGCTCTAGAGCGGGGTCGCGGCAATCGCGGGGGCCGCCCAAATAGCCGCGCTGGTCAACGCGAGAAGACTCGCCCCTCTTCCCGCGCCCCGAACGGGGCCCGCAGGAGGGGTGGGGAACGTTCCAGGCGCAGGAGCACCAGTGGAAGCCGCTCGCCAGGGGGAGGCAGGAAACAATCGCCCGGCCGAAGAAAAAGGCGCGGACAACTCCACCAGACATTCGCGGCAGGGGGCCATCGAGAAGCACCGGCCGAGGTGGCGGCCCTACGGGCGGACGAGAAAGCAGCCCGAAGGGCCGCAAAC